GGGGAGAGGGGTCCCAATCTCTACTGACCTCAGAGTGCTAGTGGAATATAAATAACAACTTACCTAATGAAGCGCTTCATAGTAGCCAAGAAATGATTAGCACAGAAGTCCCCGCAAGCTGAAGATAAATTCCAGCTCCCTGAATGGATGCCTGAGTTGGGCTATTTGCCTTCATTTGATATAACTGGTATCTTACACTTCCAGCCTGGGACTGTTGGTACCTGGTTTGCTTCCTGCATAATAGACTGTGAGATGTTTAGCATCTTGGCAGATCAGTTGGTGCACTCCCCATAAATGCAGTCACCTATGGCCTTTTGGCCACCAAGCTAAGGAAACGGGCATCGTTGTGACAAAACGTGTATGTGCACTGTAGAGCACTTGATGCTTTTGACCCTTTGCACTCCTAGCATTGGGAACATGCCTGCAAGTTATGTTTACATCTAGGACTGCAAGCTATAGCCAGAGCCAAGCATCATGAGCCCGTTAACTGCTTCTCTGAAGCAGCTGTTTCTTAGCTCCTTAGAGACCATGGGCACAGGATGAATGTCTATGACACTGTACCCACGCTCTCTGGAGGTGATCTCTGTGGGACAAATGCACTGGGCCATTTGACTGCCTTGCACAGTCCACTTACTGATCCATGCCCCTCCAGGCTGCTTCCAACACTGATCTGCTCCTGTACCAAGATCTATACTGATGGGGCAGGGAGATTACCATCTTTACAATGAAGTCCAAATTGTTGCTCACTCTGGAAGGAGCAACATCAGTAATATTACTGTACACAGAAAAAAAACTGTGGTTCTTGTAGCACTCTGGGCCTGCGTGGTGGAACTGGTGGCCACAAGGCGTCTGACCGTTCATGCAGGTTCCAGTCAATCGTCTCAGTTAAAATGTACACGTTTTGTAGAAATACCAAAACAAGTGTTGATGTGGAAAAGTGTAAAAGGTTTGAGTAGGATTCACTTGGAAAGACTTGAATAACTGTGTGGATTCACCGCGTGTTGACAGTACACCCTTCCCAAACTCAGGCTGTTTAAAATCTTTGTAATGGACACATGCTGAAGGTCTAATTAGGAACATGCTATCACCCAGGGGAAATTTTTCTTACATCCTTGGAGTGACTGTCTCATACCTTGAGGTGTGATTGTCATGACTTTTTAGTTTCATGGACAATTGGGATTTCTATATACAAGAAGACTCCTTCTTGTGACTTATGGGACCCTTTTGTTCCACGACCATCTCATTTAATTGGCCATTTGGAAGCTGCCGGCACTAGGCATTAATGAAAGATTTGCTCTCTCTGGTTGGCATGCCATTGCTCTGAAAACTGACCATATTTCCATCAGCTGTAGTGACTGTTCAGAAGTAGGGTATGTGTGAATTTTGCTCTGTCTCCAATCCATACATGAGA